CATTGCGATCACTGACCCCCCCCCCCTTTCTCCCTTCTCCAGCTCTAAGAAGGCAACACTCAGACAATGGTGGGCATATTTTGTTTGGGGTTCTTTCTTTCCTTCCTCATTTCCCCCCATATATATTCTCCCTCCATCTCTCTTATAATCTTATAATTATAGTTAAAGAGCCCACATGGGCCATTCAGTTTAACTCCTGTAATGAAGGAAAAGCACAATCAGAGCACCCCCAACAGGTGGTCATCCAACCTTTACTTAAAAGCTTCCAAAGAAGGAGCCTCCATCACACTTTGAGACAGAGAGTTCCACTGTTGAACAGCTCTTATAGTCAGGAAGTTCTTCCCAGTGTTTAGGTGGAATCCTGCAATTTGAACACAGTGCTCTGGGTCCTTCAGCCTCACCAGATGGGGTGATTTTAGCATCCTAGGATACTTTCTCCCTTTTTGGGGGACAGAGACTGATGCCAGATATCACATGACATTGTGACTTCCGGCACAGACCCCACTCCCAACCAGGGTGAAAGTGTTGCTGGACACAACATGGGAGTCAGCACGGGGCCTCCTCACAATGGGCAAAGCATAGCTGAGACGGAGCTGCGTGCAAGGAACAGATTGCCCCGTTGCTCCCTCTTTCCTCGCAAAAGCCCTCCTTCCATTTCTTCCCTTCTTTTCCTCCTTATTTATTTATTTACTTATTACATTTATATACCACTTTTCTCCCCCTAAGGGAACTCTTCCTTCCCGTCTATCCTTCCCCCTTATACATGTCATCTTTATTTCCCAGCAACACCATAGAGGGCCACTTCACCTAGTAATCACCTTTGTGGTAAAAATTGACAAAAACTGTTGATAAATCAAGTGGCTCCCCAGTAACATTACCGAGGGCCACTTCCTCTAGCAACAGCCTTTATGGTACAAACAACAAACATACACACTTTGACTCTATATACTTTGACTTTTATATAAAGAGATCTAGTTCTCACGATTTCAGCACACTCTACTCTAAATGTAGACCAGCTGATTTCTAACATTTTGCCTCTTTGCAGCTTTCAGGCGCTCGTGCTCAGATGGGGTCACTGAAACGCATGGCAGCCCAGACATGGGGGGAGGCAAAACATCTTCAGGAGCAGAAGGTGGGGCCTGCAAGAGTTAAAAAAAGAAAGAAAACTAAAAGTAGACTTAATTTCCTCCCCATTTCCCTGGATAATTTTGTTGGGTCTTCATTTAGTTGGAAATAAAAATAGAGTATTGTTGCAATTCTTCCAGACTAACCATCAAATATTAGAAGTAGAGGTTGACTCCTAGTGGGTTAGGAGGCAGTGCATGTTGTGATATTGCTAACTCACTGCTAAACACTGTATTTATACAACACCATTGTAGCAGTTTGATACCACTTTCACTACCTTGGCTTCATTCTACAGAATCTTAGGGTTTATCATTTGATCAGATGTGTGCATTTTTTGCTGGAGTTCTGCACCCAGGCAAGTGCAGTAGAGTTCTCTTTCAGGGAAAATTCAATTCCTGCCATCTGTGCTTAGACTAAATAGACAACAGAGCTGTATTCAAACTGCAGAATGATAGCAGTCGGACACCACACTCCCATGGCTCAATGCTATGGAATTCTGGGATTTGTAGTTTTGTGAGACAGTTACCATTCACTGTGTGAGGCTGGATCTACACTGTCACATAATCCAGTTTCTGAATCCAGATTATCTGCTTTGAACTGAATTATATGAGTCTACACTCCCATACAATCCAGTTCAAAGCAAATAATCTGGATTCAGAAACTGGCATATATTGGCAGTATAGATGTGGTGCCATAACAAACTCCCAAGACTCCATAGGATGGCCATTAAAGTGGTGTCAAACTGCTATAATTCTGCTGTACAAATGGGAGACAGGACTGCAAAAGAGACAGATAGATCTGAGAACTATTTCCAGTAGAAAGTAGTAGCTTGTCTGCAGCAGCTTGCACACTCATCAGAAAACAAGACCACATGTTCAAATTATTCATCATTCCCATAGATATTATTGTCATACGGATTTGGAGTAGGGACAGTGTTCTGCGAAGTTGTAGACTGGAGTAAGTACCTCTGAAATAATCAAAACTGTCCCTCCATTTTTGCTATGATGGATTTGTCATTTTGTTAAACTGCTACTGTTTCTCACTTATTCTTCATATTTTCCTTCTCCTCCTCCTCTCCTTCTTCTAGCAAGTATCCTCTGCAGATTTAATGATCAGGAACATCCTTCTGATGCATGCTGGGAGATATGGCTGCAGGGTACAAACCACAGCAGACAGTATATCCGATGAGGCAGAACTTCTTGTTAGGGGTGAGTATGGTAATAACGGTGGACATGATCCGCATAAATTATCATGCAAAAAAATTGCAACATCTCCCTTGCTCCACACATTCCTCCTGATTCATTTTCATTTTTAAATAATTTGTGTTTGGGGGGAGCTGGGGGGGTGCTTTGTTTTAAGAGTGCTGTTCAGAGCAAGAATATATGGTTATGGTTGCAATGACCTGTAACAAATACATCGGGGAAAACAATTTGACAGTTCTGACTATTTTAAGAGCCCCTGCAATTAACCCCCAAAGAGATGGGAGCAGGAGCTTTAAATACCAAGATAAAGGAGAAATTGTTCTGCATTAAAATCAACCATTTTTCTGATTATATAAATCTCAACTAGAAGCCAAAATGATTAACCTGAGGTTTTGTACTTTGGACATCTAATATAATAACATGAGCTTACATGGAAAAGATAATAATTTTCAATAAAGTGGAAATGGGGTGAAAATTGCTGGAAGAAACATTAACAACCTCAGATATGCAGATGATACCACTTTGATGGCCGAGAGCAAGGAGGAGCTGGGAGCCTTCTAATCAAGGTGAAAGAAGAAAGTGCAAAGGCTGAGTTGCAGTTAAACATTAAAAAAAAACAAGAATCTGGCAACTGAACTGATTGATAACTGGCAAATAGAGGGAGAGAACATGGAGACAGTGACAGACTTCGTATTTCTAGGTGCAAAGAGTACTGCAGTCGCAGACTGTAACCAGGAAATCAGAAGACGCTTACTTCTTGGGAGGAGAGCAATGACCAATCTCGGTAAAATAATGAAGAGTAGAGACATCACACTGGCAACAAAGATCCGCATAGTTAAAGCAATGGTATTCCCCGTAGTCACCTACGGATGTGGGAGCTGGATCATAAGGAAGGTTGAGCGAAGGAAGATAGATGCTTTTTAGCTGTGGTGTCGGAGGAAAATTCTGCCTTGGACCGCCAGAGGATCCAACCAGTCCATACTTCAGAAAATAAAGCCCGACTGCTCACTGGAGAGAAGGACATTAGAGGCAAAGGTGAATTACTTTGGCCACATCATGAGAAGACAGGAAAGCTTAGAGAAGACAGTTATGCTGGGAGAAATAGAAGGAAAAAGGAAGAGAGGCCAACCAAGGGCAAGATGGATGGATAGTATCCTTGAAGTGACTGGCTTGACTCTGAAGGAGCTGGGGGTGGTGACAGTCGACAGGGAGCTGGTCCATAAGGTCACAAAGAGTCGGAAATGACTGAATGAATAAACAACAACAACAAAGTAGGAAAAGAGTAAGATAGCATTAGAAATTGATTGATTCAAGGAAGTAAAGGCCTTGAGTTTGCAAGACCTGAGCAGGACTGTTCATAAGAATATCATATGGATATGAATGGCGTGATTTTAGTATAGAATGAAATGTTTTTAAATACTTAATAAGTATTAATATTAATTTAATGTAATTTAATCTCAATGTTTATTAGAATTGTATATGTTTTGAGGCACTGAATAATTGCCTATATGTAAGCAATGTTGAGTCCCCTTCGGGGTAGAGAAAGGCAGGGTCTAAAGAGGGTAAATAATAAATCGATAAATAAATATGTTGAGGGATTACTCATTGAAAGACCACCATACATTGAATATGTCTTGATAGCACATAACAGCAACAAAGGAAATGTATTATATATAAATAACATGTATTTGTTTCAGATGGAAAAAGCTTTCTTTGGGGAGTTTGTTATAGGCTGAGTGGGGATTCAAACCCTAGTCTCCAGAGTCATAGTCCAATGCTTAAGCCATTACACTGTATGTTAACTTTTAAAGCTTTAGGGCCTGAGATTGTTCCCAAAGTCATGAAGCATTTTTCTCACTGGTTGACACTGACATTGGTCTTTCAAAACAATTAAAGCTATGTGTTGATTTCTCCTCCGAAGCCCTTCGTAACAAAAGTAAAATTGTTATATGTTTAAAAGTTTCTGTCATTTGGTGCTGCGTTTGAATACAAGAGTCAAGCAGGATTTTTAGTATTAGCAGCACTGTATTTATACACTCTATTAAAATTCTATTCAAAGTGAATATTATGACAGGCTGTGAACATAAATCAGTTTCACACTATCTTCAGCTTATTATGTCCCATTTATTTTTCTTGAGGCACGGAAGTGAAGGAATGTTTCTGATAGTGGCTTCACAAGTGTTAAATTGCCTCTGCCAAAGTCAGATGAAGACAATATCACCTATCAGACTGGGTTTGTTGTGGAATAGCACTTCATTTTGCTTGCAGCCATTTATTTATTTTACACTTGTACTCTTGCCACATGGCCTTAAAAGCCCTGGGGGCTACTTCAGCACATTAAAAAGTGTAAAGCAGCAATTTTGTTTCAAAATGGCATATTAAAATAAACCAGAATTAAGACATTTATCCAGTGAGCTTGGGAACAACAGATACTCTAGTATGAATGAAGAAAGCAAATATAAACTTGATTTGATATCAACGAGGGAAGCCACATATGGGCCTTATAAACATCTCAGGAATCACTGGGTTGTTGTAGGTTTTGGGGGCTGAATGGCCATGTTCTAGAAGCATTCTCTCCTGATGTTTCACCTGCATCTGTGACACGCATTTTCAGAGATTGTGACATCTGTTGGAAACTAGAAAAATTGGGTTTATAGATCTGTGGAAAGTCCAGGGTGAGAAAAAGAACTCTTGTCTGTTGGAGCTAGGTATGAATGTTTTAATTGGCCACCTTGATTAACACCTGACAATTTTTAGGTGTTGCTTGTTACTGCCTGGGAGAATCCTTTGTTGAGAGGGGATTAGGTGTTCCTGATTTTTTTCTTGTCTGGAGTTCCCCTATGTTTGAGTTTTGTTCATTATTTAATGTCTTAATTTTAGAGGGTTTTTTTTAAATACTGGTAGCCAGATTTTGTTCATTTTCATGCTTGCTTTCTTTCTGTTGAAATTGTCCACATGCTTGTGGATTTCAATGGCTTCTCTATGTGACATGGTAGTTGTTTGAGTTTTCCAGCATTTCTGTGTTCTCAAATAATTAGACTAGGCTGTTACTAGTGTATTTTGTCCAACATTAGCAGGTAACAGGTAATTGTGGGAAGGAAGAAGGCCAGTATTGGGATGTACACTATTGTGTGCCAGTTTGCTTCCCTCAAGTGGTAAATTCCTCTAACATGCATTTGTTGGGAGGGAGAACAGTAGTTGCTAACATTTTACCTGTCACATAAATGTTGAAACTACGGTATCCATGCCCCTCCAAAAAAGCAAAGCACCAGCAGTCTTCATTCCACCATCTAACTACTCCCCAGTCTCTCTAATGTTCCTGTACAGCTAGCCAATTTTTCATTCACAGCTTGCAAAAGAATGAGCCATATTTTCAGAAGTCATTTTCTATTGTGACATTGCTGCTTACTATGTTTACTGTTCTTTGAAACCTGGCACAAAATGATTTGATATCTTTTTCTCTGGAAGGAAAAATACCCAGACCTTTTCCAAATGAACTCAGGTATGCACACAGAGTAGAGTTGTTTGTGACACTCTGGAAAGATGGTTGTTTCTGTTTGTCAGGTTTCACTTTATGGTGACAAATCAAGTCTCGCTCTATGTCAGTAAATGATTAGACCCATTCTTGGTTCTGATCCCAAAACACGTTTCCCTTTCCGATTGGCACCTGTGCCTGCCAGCTTTTATTTAAAAATCTCAGCTGCTTGTGTTATATTTTTTGTTGGTGGGATTTTGTTATTTTTAAAAAAATTGGATCCTTTTTCAATATAACTGATATGGCTCATTGCAGTTCCTGGCATTTCTGATTTCATTCCCTTTGAAACAGTTAAAGAAGAAATTCATCAATATGGGATAAATCAAAATGTGAAGTTCTAATGTAAGAAAGAATGTGAAGTATATACACCTCTAGAGGCTGCAAAACTTCAACTCCGGTGATCCATCACTATAGTCTATGCAATTGGACCAATCCAATCTGTCTATGCATATTAACCAGGCAGTGAATTAAATTTCCCCCATTGACTCACATCAATCAGACATTCGTTTATAATTACCCATATTGATTACTAGTTTGTGTACAACCAGTGAGGAATTTCACCATGGTAAAAATATCAGGATTTTTCAATGAGTGTTCCAAGCATGCATGGACATTGATTGGAAACCACCCAAAAGAGCTCCAAAAATACTTCAAGTTCTTTGTTGTCTCAAACTCTTACCTAAGGGAAGTCTTAACTGCATCAGTCACCAGCTGATATACAGTGGGCCATTTGTTTAGTTCTAAAATCTGTAAATGTTCAAGTCCCATTGTATACAATGGCAAAATAAAATGATGTCTGTTACATAAAACAGAAAAATCAAGGTTTGCCTCTGAATTTTTTTAACATTTTCAAGCCATGCCTGGCTATATTTGTGGGTGCAGAATCTGTGGATACAGAGGGCCAACTGTATTTGGATTATCCTAAGACCAAAGCACGAAGCTGATAAGCTTCTGGGACAGATCCCCTATGCAGGTTGGCCCCATAGCTCCAATCCTAGGACTTGTACTCTCCTTCCTTTAAAACTCCTTTAAAACTCCTTCCTAGATTTGGTTCCTGAAGCCCAAATGGATGTGTGGTTTTGGATCAGTGTAGTAATAACTGGCTGATCCTCCTTATTCATTTTTAAATTAAATTATCCAGACCCTCCTGTAGAAAACAAAATCAGGAAAGGTTATTGGTAAAAGAAGTAAGTTAAACATCCGGCTTGATCCTGGTTCCATACTTAGCATTATTTAACACTTGAGTTATAGCAAAGTTACACTTCCCCCTGAACTCTTTCCACAGCACATGTCTCATCAAATTACAGCTGCTTCTCTGACTTATGGTTCTTATCCATTCCTAACCTCTATCATTCTCTATTCTTGACTGCTCCTATCTCACCTCATCTTATTAAGAGTCAATCCATATCTGTCCCTGTTTCTACAGTCAGCCCCCCCCCCCAAATTTGCTGAGGTTAGGGACACAGATCCTCAATGAAAGTGAAAAACCACAAACTAAAAATTGCTGTTTTTTTATTTTATCTGAGAACCCTTCTCCGGGAATTTCTAGGTCTTCCAGCATGACTTTATGGTCAACTTTTGCTGGAAGTTTACTTTAGAATTGCATTGAAGGACATAGAGATTCTCACAGATAAATTCTCTCTAGTAATTTCTAGTTACTCCAGTATGACAGGAGAAATTTGACCATAGTTGACACTGGAGGATCTAGAGATTCCTAGAGAGAACATTTTAAATACCAGTATTTCCATAGGATGTGTGGCCTGCTTTTGGCTCATGAGGTAGTCAGGTTAATTAGGATTGTTGTTGTTGCCTTCCTTCAAATCATTTCAGACCTAGGGCAACGCTAAGTATAAACTTTAGGGTGTGGCCAATTAAATGACATTGGAAGGGCGCATCTGGCCCACAGGCCTTAGTTTGGGGACCCCTGCTTAAGCATGAGTGAATGGGGCTAAAAAGCAGGGTTAAACAACTCATAACCTACTAGACAGTAGTGAACAAATTTAAATACGTCTTTACACAGAAGCAGGGATTAAAACCACTTGCAATCCAATGGCACTAGCTAGAAAGTCACATGCCACACCATAGATCTAAATGCACTACATTGTATCTGTACTATTTTGAAAATGGATGGGAAATGTAACATGACACCACAATGTCTAGGTTGTCATCCCTTAATTTTGAGTAGCATTTTTCCACTTTTGGTCTGCTTGCTACTTTGGATTTCAGCCATCAGAATCTATGCTAACTTGAGCTTCTAGGGAATTCCAAAACATCTGGAGGACCTAAAGTTGAAGACTGTTGATTTAGAGGGTATTCGTTCTATTTTACATATTTATGTATTCCTTTATTTTACGTCTTTCCTTTATTTCAGCAAAATTGGGAGAACAGATTTTGTATAGCACAAGTTTTGTTAAGGTCAGTGTTATAAGATCTCTTATATAAGTTCTTTTGGATTTTTGTGTGTACTTACACAATGATATATCTTGGTGATGAGATCCAAGTCTAAAAGCAACATTCGTTTATGCTTCATATGCTTCTTAAACACATAGCCTGAAGGTAATATTTTGAATAAAGTTTGTGTAGATTAAACTATTAGAAAGCAAAAGTGTTTGGATCCATGAGGACAATTTTCAATTTTGGAGTTTTTAAGATTTTGGAATTCCAGATAAAGGATTCTCAGCCTATGCACCCATCTGACAAAAGCTCAGTTTCATAGTCTGTAGCTTCCAAACACTTTTCATGGTTCATTAGAGCTGTCTAATGCTTTCTATGATTACTAAGTCAACCAGCCAAAATCATAGCCAAAATAAAAAGTAATTATTTAGTAACAATTTAGCTCAGGGGAAGTTTCTTAAAACTCACAAAAACATGGCTCTTCTCTTGGTTTTACATTCACAACTTAAAATTTCATATCAGGAGCTTACAGACATTCCTATTCAATATTAAATCTTCTTTGGGGCTATCTCTGCCATTGTGAAATTTGTCTGAAGGGTGGGAAAGGCAACAAAGTTAGCTCCATTAAAAAAAATATCAGTTCAACCAGACAATTCTTAATAATATATTCATGGGAGCAACTGTGATTGTATCTTGTTTGGAGTGTGCTTTATTTTTCTTCCTTTCCCAAGTTAAAAAAAGAAATCCAAATCCAGCTTCCAGCACCAAAAATAGGGAACTAGCATATAATGACAGACGACCTTAAAGGAGAGGCAGGCAATAAATGTATTATTATTATTATTATTATTATTATTATTATTATTATTATTATTATGACACAAAAACACAGTATGTCACAGCAAACGAGATTTATATGCTGGATTTCATATCACAAAATCACAAGTTGAACACTTCCCAAACATCTAAGACTGTGTGATGTATTTTTGTGTGCAGATTCAAGTAAGGTGGCCTTTTGCAGCTGACAGATTGTGATTTTGTCAATGTTTATTGTTTCCAAATGCCAGAAACAATTGTTGTTGTTGTTGTTGTTATTATTATTATTATTATTATTATTATTATTATTATTATTATTAGAAACACAACAAGATTAGGACACAGCAAACAAGATCACTATGCTGATTGTTGTATTGGATCACACGTCGAACACTTTCCAAATCTCTAGGACTATGTGATGTAACAGCAAATAATGCGTGCAGATCTGAGTAGGGTTGCCTTTTGCAGTTGACAAATGAAAATTTTGTCAGTGCCAATTGTTTTCAAGTGCTGGCAAAGGTGTTTAGGCACTGCACCTAGTGTTCTGATCACCACTGGGACCACCTTGACTGGCTTGTGTCAGAGTCTTTGCAGTTCGATCTTTAAACCCTCATATTGTGTAAGCTTTTCCAGTTGCTTCTCATTAATTCTGCTGTCGCCTGGGATTGCAACATCGACAATTCATACTTTGTTGTTGTTTTTTCAACAATTGCGAGGTCAGGAGTATTGTGCTCCAAAACTCTGTCAGTCTGAATTTGGAAGTCCCAGAGTAGTTTGATGTGTTCATTTTCTTTAAACTTTATTATTATTATTATTATTATTATTATTATTATTATTATTATTATTACACCCAACTTGGATGCTAGGATTAAAGGGAATATCCCATTGAGTGAATGAATCAATGAAACTTTAGACACAATCCTATGGGATTTTTTTTCTGAACATGAATAAGAGTAATAATACTCTTGTCTTGGGGTGCTTGGAATGTGATTTTCCTGCTTCTTGGCAGAGGGTTGGACTGGATGGCCCACGAGGTCTCTTCCAACTCAAGAATTCTATGATTCTATGAAAACAGTGCAAGTGTGCTCTATTTAATAAAATGAAAAATATACTTTCCTCCCCAGTGAAACATGTATATAATCCATTTCAAACCTCCCCTCCATACTGGGCCCAACTATCTATCTTTTGTGCATGGCATTTCAATTGAAAAAGAAGGATGCCTTCTATATCAAACTTCTCATATAATTGTTGGTTTACCTTCCATTTTTAAAGTGTTCAAGTTATATTTTTATGATTTCATGTTTTCACTGATGCTTATTTCTTCCATGTCCCCTGTGTCTTTTTTCCTTATGTGTTGTCTTCCAATTTTGAAAATGTGAGGATACAAAGTGAATTCTGAAGTGTATTTCATGTAAGCAACTCTAGGAAAGGTGGGAAAATGTTGGAAGTGTGTAGGTATATTCTATGGCTTCTGAAAAGTTTTCTTGGGGGCATGGTTTATTGTAAAGTTTATCTTTCTTCACTAACTGTTGAACCATTTCTGGTCACAGTTCAAACTGTTGGTCATAACATTGCTGTTGCCTGTCATCAAGTCAATTTTGAATTAAGAAATGAGAGACCTACAAAATCTCAATTTCTCAATTGTTCTGCTTACGTCATGAAAACCTAAGACCATGGCTTCCTTGAATGTCGGTGTATCCACTCTGTAGGAGTAATACAATTTGACCCCACTTTGATAGCCATGGGATCATAGGAGAAGAAGCTCGGTTAGTCATTAGCACTCTTTGGCAGAAAAGTCTAAAGACTTTGTAAAACAGACATTTATGCTATGCTAAAGTGATGTGGGATCTCCACCTTTGTGTAGCTATTTTAAAATTCAGATTAAAACTTAGAATTCATTGCCAACCACCAACCATCACTGTCATAATGATTATAGAGAGCAATATTTTATGTTTGGTATTCACAGGCAGATGATACAGACATGACCCTACGCATACAGATGACAATTTAAAAGTAGTGTCTTTCATTCGTTTTTCTGTTTCAGGTCCACCTGGACCTCCTGGAGTTGTGATAGTTGAGGAAATCACAGAGACCACAGCTACTCTTTCATGGACACCTGGGGCTGATAATCACAGCCCCATAACTTCCTACAACCTGCAAGCCCGAAGTCCATTTTCCCTTGGCTGGCAAACTGTGAAAACAGGTAAGAGACTTTTGCTATAACAAGATGACTTAAATCTGGAGATTCTCTCCCCGCTCACCACATACCTACCTATAGTATAATGGCTAGAGTGTTGGACTAAAGTTCTGGAGACCAGGATTTGAATCTTCACTCAGCCATGAAACTCAGCAGATGAACTTAGGAAAGTCACAGCCTCAAAGGGAGGCAAGGGAAAACTTCTGAACAAAGCTTACCAAAATAACTCTTAGGGTCACCATAGTTTGAAAGCACCTTGAAGGTACACAACAACAACTCTCAGGTAACTGTATACAGGATTTAATAAATTCAATAAATCAAATTCCTCTCTCTCTCTCTCTCTCTCTATCTATATATATATATACACACACACACACACACACACACACACATACATACATACATACACACCTTTGTGCTTATCCTTAAAATAGTTCACGTTTATACAGGTTGAATATGTCTTATCCAAAATGCTTGAGACCAGAAGTGGTTTGGATTTCAGATTTATACACTTTGTTTTATTTGGAATTTTTGGAATTCCTGTATTTGCATAGATATAGATAATCTTGGAGCTGGGACCCAAATTTCAACATGAAATTCAGTTATGTTTCATATTTAGTAATGTTTCATATTCATGTTTATACACAGTATTTAAATTTTAACAGTTTTGTGCATGGAATAAAATTTGTGTATATTGAACCATCAGAAAGCAAAGGTGTCACTATCTCAGCCACATGAGTGGACACTTTTGGATTTTGAAGTATTTTTGATTTCTGAATAAAGGATACTCAGTCTAGTTTTGGAGATATGTAAACTTCCAAAAATTGCATCCCTATAACTGAAGATGTTTGTGATATATTGCTTATTTAATTCCCAGTTATTGAGTCCAACTGTTGCAGACCATACTGTATGTATATAACAATTTGCAAGGATCTTAAAGCATCCTTAATTGACCCATTGACTGACCAGAGGATTTTTCCTATCAGTGTTCACCAGTATCAGGGAAAATTGCTTTTGGTTGTGTGGCTTTGAGATATTACTCATAGTTATTCACTTTTCCTAGTTCCAGAAACCATCAGTGGTGACATGGAGTCCGCCATGGCAGTTGAACTGAATCCATGGGTGGAATATGAATTTAGAGTTGTAGCAACTAACAAAATTGGAACTGGAGATCCAAGTGCACCATCCAGAGTGATCCGGACAAAGGAAGCAGGTAAAAACTTGAACTGGAAACAAGACCTTTTACATGACTTTGACACTTTAGAATTAGCCTTCACCTTTTTGTGATTTCTGCTTTGCTAAACTAACCTGATATGATGGAAAGTATCCAGTTGGTGCCTGATGCACACATTACTTCCCCTATGTAAGTTGGACATATTTGTACAATGAGGAACATTTGCATTCAGTTCAAGGATGTGCAAGGAAATGTGTGCACACAGCACTATTACCCATGGATAGGCACTGCAACTGCTTGTGTAGCTACAATCAGATGCATTGATGTGCATTCCCAGTTGGTTGACATTTGGTCTTCAATTCAGTTTAGTTCACTGGACAAACGTTGGAATTCAGTACAAAGGCTGCATAGCTCAGTTAATGCGCAACTCCACTTGTAGAGATTTATAATGGAGCATGTACAAGGAAGGGTGACCAAAGTTATATGAGACCATCTTAGGGAACTGGGTATATTTAGCTTGGAGAAGAGGATGATAAAGGGGGACAATGTAGACATATTTAAATATTTAAAATAATGTCATATTGAAAATGAGGCAAACATTTCCCATTGATGCTCTAGAGACTATGAAGCCATTTGTAAACACTCTTTGGGTTTGGTCAGTCAAATTACTACAAATCCATCGAAGAGGAGTATTGTGGCCTATGTTTACTAGCTTGTTTGCAAGAATGTCTTCAGTAAGGTTTTGTCAAAAAAACCTTACTGAAATGAAGGTATGATTTCCAATTTCCTCCATGTAGTCACCTATAATTTCCTTTTTCTTTTTTGCTATGAACAAACAAAAAATGTCCTTTTATTGTTTTTAACCTCTGTAGCAAGCTGAACTCTTTGATTTTTCTGATTTTCTCTCTACACGTGTTGGCTATTTGTTTGAATTCCTCATTGGTGATTTTCCCATTTCCATTTCATGTATATGTCACTTTTAAATCTTGGCTCTTTAGCCATCCATCCTGGTTTCTGGTTGTAATTTGTAATTAGATTTGCTGCCAGGAATGGGTGAATTACCTGTATAGTTGCCTTGGAATATGCATTCTGACTTGAATACTTGTGGGACACTATTTGCTTTTTCCACCTCAGATAGCAAAACGGTTTAAGCTGCCCCAGTTGTTTTAATGCTTGTCTCCTGGGGATTTGAAGCTTTTTCCTCCTTGTGTAATCATTATTGTTTAGCCTTTCCTGTGTATTATTTAATTTACATTGTTATTTGTCCATGAAGGGGGTTCATAAAATGATGGAAAAGCAGGCCATAAATATTTTGATTAATAAGGAATGTGTTCAATGATCTCTGGTTTGTAACACTCCTAAGTTACATGTATCTCCTCCCCAAATAGTCCTGAGAAATCACATGGAATTTCCTTAATAACTGGTTCTCACATAGTAGTTTCTAAATAATATGTTGTTGCTTAAATAAATTTATATTAGATTTTAACAGTTGGTTTCATTCAATTAGCTTTGCTCTGGTTCCTAGACAATTACGCACCTGGTAAATTAAAATGCAGCACTATGTCAGCTCTCTTGCTTATCAGTGTGACATTTTAACAAGGCTTTAGTCACTAAGGGCTGGTTTTTACGATATGCCTGCCATGTAGAAACTACTGGAAATGCTTCTGAGCAGTAGAGGTTTTCCTCCTGGGAGAAGCATTCATTAATGTTGCAGTATTCATGCTTTCTAAGGCACATTTTAAAATTGCTTCTAATGTTTCATTATTTGTTATGTTTGCTTTGCAAATTGCAATTACATTGTTGTTTTAGTTATCATTTAGCTGTATAAATAGTTGTTTATTACATTTCAATCCCATACAATGGTCAGAAGGCACATGATGAACTGATAATGATGTTAGGAAGCAGGTCTGACTTTGAAAACCTTCCTGGAATGATCCTATAAACTTCTTTAAGCTTTGTGAAACATGTCTGGGGTTTATGTTGGGCATCTCTCATCATCCCTCACTATTGGCTATAACCGATGCTAACTGCAGTCCAACTAAATCTAGCATGCCGCACAATCTCTACCTTTTAAAGAACACAATACAAAGAGTAGCATATAACTATCCTAAATATCATGGTTTGGATCACTGCTTATAGAGTTGCTATATAATTTCATCAGACTGGCAACAAAGATCCGCCTAGTCAAAGCCATGGTATTCCCTGTAGTAACCTACGGATGTGAGAGCTGGACCTTTGGGAAGGCTGAGCGAAGGAAGATAGATGCTTTTGAGCTGTGGTGCTGGAGGAAAGTTCTGAGAGTTCCTTGGCCTGCGAGAAGATCCAACCAGTCCATCCTCCAGGAAATAAAGCCCAACTGCTCATTGGAGGGAAGGATACTAGAGACAAAGTTGAAGTACTTTGGCCACATCATGAGGAGACAGCAAAGCCTAGAGAAGACAATTATGCTGTGGAAAGTGGAAGGCAAAAGGAAGAGGGGCCGACCAAGGGCAAGATGGATGGATGGCATCCTTGAAGCGACTGGACTGACCTTGAAGGAGCTGGGGGTGGTGACGGCCGACAGGGAGCTCTGGCGTGGGCTGGTCCATGAGGTCCACGAATGAACAACAACAACATATAATTTCAACTGTCATAATAACCCTGAAAAAAAAATAATTTAAACTTCGAGGTACTGATTTGTCCAAGAATACTTGCTAGGCCAATTCTGATTTCCAATCCAGGCCCAACACTCTTTGTTAGGGTTGGATAGGTTTGTTCAGAAAAGCCTGAAAGATGTAAAAAACTTCAGAATTTTGACTTTCATAGCAGTTTTGAACCATGCAGGAAAGGTGGGGGGAGGAATCCGAATTTGAACCACTTTTTCTTTGGAAAAATTCCATAATGTTTAGATGTCTTCCAAGGTTATTTTAATTTTATAACCATTAAGCAACTTTGGTAAAGCCTAAAAAGTTTTAAAATTTCATGTTTTTCCTCTCCCGGCAATGCAAGAAGGGATGAGGTGGGCGTGGCTAAGCACAGCCATTATTGTAGTTTGTGAAGGCCAGGCACCCAATGGTTGAGATTGCAAATGGCCTGCTGTTAAACTACATTTCTCACACTGTCCAGCTGCTCATTAGCCAAAATGGCTGAAGGATCCCTATAGCTGTTTTTAGCAGTCTTCATCTAAATATAAAATAAACTGATTGAATATACAAAGGTGTCTAAAGAAGGCAGCAAAGCAATAGGCAACTTTTGCAAAGCCAAGAGAACATAAACTGCTTAAAAACCAACCATTTCACTTTGGCCTGATTGCCATGAACAAGGCACTGGGGTAGCCAGCCACAGCCAGCCAGCCCTTTCTTTTAGTAAGTAATGATAAAATAAAATGATTGATTGCATCTGCAAATAGGAATAAACAGATGGATTTGTCTTGAGGGTCCTCTCAAACTCAGTAGAGGAAGCAAATGGATATCAGGAGAGTTTGGATGGTGCCTTTCTGCCCAGAAGAAGGGGTCAGTCTCGATGTCCCTTGATGGGATCTGTACTATGATTTCTGTTCACCACCAATTTAACATTGTTTGTTCCACACAAACAAAGTTTCTAGGGTAGAACAACTACTTTCAAAGTAAAGACCACCCAGTGAAACAGGAAATAACACTTTCAAACCAGGAAGAGATATTCTTTATTATTAATTTTTTTAAAAAAAAAACTTTAAAAATGTGCCAAAAAAACCATGGATAAGTCAAAGATTATGAAATTTGGTGAGCTAACAGTGGTCCATGTATTCTACCATTGCAGTAAGTTTAATCGGGATTGGTCTAAAAATTAGGGAAGGAGAATCCCCTGAAGTTTCTCCAGTGCCAGTTGTGGGTTTTTATTTCTTACTGTGCATGCATGTCTACCATTAACAAAGCAATTCAGAAGTTTTAGAAAGTTTTTAATTTAAAAAAATTAGAAGTGACTTTAGAATCAAACCACATCCGAAATGAGTTTTGAACCATTTTTTTATCAACCAAGCCTACTCTGTGTTATTATTTTCATTAGTCAGATCAATTTCAACTTACATCAAACCTTATACCAAGCCTATGAATAAGAGATCTCCAAAATCCAAGTAAAGTCTTGCAGATTTAGGGCCATGGCTTCCATGATTTAATCAATTCCACCTGGGATGTAGTCTTCATTTTTTTTCATATTGCCTTACCTCAGTCATCTTTGCTTCTGGTAAGAATCCAGAATTGATCATCTATAGTCATTATTTCTGTCTTATTACCAATCTGCTCTGAATATGCTTTTGCACTTTCTTCTTTATCAATGGCCATTCCAAGTGTCTGGTTATTGCTAAGTAATATGGTGTAGTCTTATATTGTTGATGAATTTTCACACTGCTAAATCTAATCTTGTTTTTTGTATGACATGTTCTGCATACAAATTGAATACATTGTGTGGTAAAATGCAACCCCTTTGACCCCCTTCCCAATGAAAAACCAATCTGTTTCTTTACATGGTGTCCTCACAGTGGCTCTTGTCCAGAGTATAGGTTAAACATCGGGACAATCTAATGTTATATTACAATTTCTTTTAATGCATTTTATACTTTCTCATGATCCTAGGGCTTTATGGTAATCTATAAAACACAGGTTGATTTTATTTTGACATTTTTGTCACCCTACGAAATATGTTGGGGTGTAAAACTTTGCTTATTTGATTCAAGGAATAACAAAAAAAAAGGATTAAAAGTGAGATTGTGAAAGCTCTTGCTCATTGTATAATAAGTAAAATCTTCACATATTTTGTTTGTTTGTATGCAATATCCCCCATCTCTCAATACATGAAATTTTTGAGATTTCTGATCTTTCTCTGGCACTCATAAGCATCTTTGTTCAAATCAGAACATTTTTTAGTTCAAGATGAGAAGGCAGAGGAGTTAGACAAGCCAAAGTAGCAAATAAAAATACAAAGGAAGAGAACAATCTGGGGAAAATTGAATGTCTCAGCTTAGAGTTATGTTTGTGTTAAATATAGTTCCTAAGTGTGAAAAGAATGAGAGAAAAGTCCATCTG